GGAGTTTCTCCATGTTGGTCAGGCTGGTCTTGAACTTCTGAGCTCAGGTGATCTGCCTACCTCAGCCTACCAAAGTGCTGGGATTACAGGCGTGAACCACTGCACCCAGACCCTCAAATCTTTCATAAATATTTTAAAATACCATATAGATGGATAGATGTAATATAGATGTATTTAATCACATACCTATTGTTTGGAGACTTAGGTTGTCTCACTATTATAAATAGCACAGTGATGAATAACTTTATGGGCAGTGTTTTCTGTATGTGATACAGAATCCCAGGATATGGATTCCTGAGTGAAAAGGAGTGAGCACCTTTAAGGTTTTTAACACTTACCCAAAGCTTTGATGTTTTCAGAGCAGCTGAGGTGTGAGTCTGTGCCCAGAAAAGAGTGATAGCACAGGCTGCGTAGATGACCCAGGCTCCCACTCATCGAGTGAGAGTGAGCGGCTGTTGCCGGTGGTTCCGTGTCAGCATGGGTGAGGGTCTGCCAAACCCAGCTTGCCGCACTTCCCGCCCAGAGACTCCGAGGCAGTGGGTCTAGGGTGGGGCCCGAGACTCTGCATTTCTGTCACATTCCTAGGTGATGCTCGTGCTGCGGGTCCAGGGACCACACAGAGCTACCGATTTAAACCATTACAGTTTTTTCAAATTTTCCCACCAACTTGCCACTAAGGATGGAAAATAATGAACTAGTGCCTCAAGAATTGAGGTGACTTTTTTTTTTTCCCCCCCAAGAGAGGGTCTCTGTCACCCAGGCTGGAGTGCAGCCGTGCACTCTGTAGCCTCAACCTCCTGGGCTCAAATGATCCTTCTGCCTCAGCCTCCTAAATGGCTGTGCACCACCATATCTAGCTAATTTATTTTCTTTTACTTATTTATTTATTTATATTTTTTGTAGAGACAATGTCTCACTATGTTTCCCAGGCTAGTCTTGAACTCCTGGCCTTAAGTGATCCTCCCTCCTCAGCCCCCCAAAGTGCTGGGATTATAGGCATGAGCTATCACACCCAGCCCAAGATATATTTTTAGTTGTTATTTTTATCAAAGTCATTCATGTACTTGGTTTAAACAATTAAACAAAAGACCACAAGTTTTATAATAAACAAAAGCTGTCTCCCACCTTCACTTCTTATTCCTGAGCTCAGGCCCCAGAGTTAATGCCCTTTCACTTTCTTAACTTGTTCCTCCTAAGATTTACTCTTGTGTTTCTAAGCAATACACTACTATGTCCTGATTTGTCTGTTTGAAGCATTAGTTATTGACTCCTTTTGATGGAAAATAAGAATATAAAATTCTTTTTTTTTTTTTTTTTCTGAGACAGGATCTCACTCTCTTGCCCAGGCTGGAGTGCAGTGATGCAATCATAGCTCACTGCAACCTCTAGCTCCTGGGCTCAAGCGATCCTTCTGCCTCAGCCTCCCAAGTAGCTAGGACTACAGGTGCATGCCACCACATCTGGCTGATTTTTTATATTTATTGTAGAGAGAGGGTCTTGCCATGTTTCCCAGGTTGGTCTTGAACTCCTGGGCTCAAGTGATCCTCCTGCATCAGCCTCCCAAAGTGCTGGGATTATAGCCACGAGGCATCGCGCCCAACCAAGAATATAAAATTCTTAGTCCTCTACCTCCATTCTGCCATTATAGTTTCTCATCATTTTTGGTTAAATCAGATTCAGTGTATACATTATTATATCTATGTAAATAGTGTTTTATACTGAGACAAGTGGTGTACAATAGTTTTTCTTTTCTTTTCTTTTTTTTTTTTTTGAGACAGAGTCTTGCTCTGTCACCAGGCGCCAGGCTGGAGTACAGTGGCACAATCTCAGCTCACTGCAATCTCTGCCTCCTGGGTTCAAGCAATTCTCCTGCCTCAACCTCCCTAGTAGCTGGGACTACAGGTGCATGCCACCACACTCAGCTAATTTTTGTATTTTTTAGTAGAGATGGGGTTTCACCATGTTGGCCAGGTTGGTCTTGATCTCTTGACCTCGTGATCCACCCGCCTTGGCCTCCCAAAGTGCTGGGATTACAGGCGTGAGCCACCACACCCAGCCAACAGTTTTACTTTCAATCTTATTTAACTTTTTATTTTCCTGGAATCATTTCTCATTTGCTTTTTTTTTTTTTTTTATTTTTTTTTTTTTTTTTTTTTTTTTTTTTTTTTTTTTTTTTTTTTTTCATATATTGCTAGCATCAATTCTCTCAAATTCTCTGGAAAACTTTCCAATGCTGTTTATTTTCCAAATCATCAAATGCAATATAAAATCTATCAGTTCCTATTTGTTTGTTTGTTTTCTGCTATATTAGTTCCTAAGGCTACCTTAACAAATTTGCCACAAACTTGGTGGCTCAAAACAACAAAAGTTTACTCCCTCACAGTTCTGGAGGCCAGAAGTCTGAAATCAAAGGGTCGGCACGGTTGGTTTCTTCTGGAGGCCCTGATGGAGGATCAGTCCCATATCTCTTTCCCTAGCTTCTGGTGGTGACTGGCAATGCTTGGCATTCCTTGGCTTGTGGTTGCATCCGTTCCATTCCTGCATATGTCTTTACGTGGACTTCTTCCTCTGTGTATTCTCTGTCTATGTATCTCTCATGGCCTTCTTATAAGGATGCCAGTCATATTGGAGTAGGAGCCCACCCTATTCCATTATGACTTTATCTTAACCAATTATATCTGCAAAGACCCTATTTCCAAGTAAGGTTACATTGTGAGGTTCTGGGTTGACATGAATTTTGGGGGGACACTATTCAACCTGGTATACTTGCCAGTGTTTTTTCTAGAGCTTTCTGCCTTCCTGCTTGACTTGAGCTGGTTGTTCTCCAGCTCACTCAGCTCCCTTAGCTTTCACCTTCTTCCACAAATCCTGTTTCCTTTCTTTCTCGTCTCCCTGTCTTTGGTTTACCCTCTAGTTGTGTGGGAGCACATCCTCCAGTATCTGTGTAACCAAGACCACCTGAAAGGAACATATTTTTGTATTGCATGTCTGAAGATACCTTTGTTCAACTTTCACACCAAATTAATTGCTTTGCTGGACATAAAACATGTTGAAGGCCAGGCACGGTGGTTCACACCTGTAATCCCAGCACCTTGGGAGGCTGAGGAGGGCAGATCACTTGAGGTCGGGAGTTCGAGACCAACTTGGCAAACATGGTGAATCCCTGTCTCTACTAATTAGCTGGGCGTGGTGGCACGTGACTGTAATCCCAGCTACTGGAGAGGCTGAGGCAGGAGAATCACTTGAACCCGGGAGGTGGAGGTTGCAGTGAGCTGAGATGGTGCCACTGCACTCCAGCCTGGGCGACAGAGTGAGACTTTGTCTCAAAAAACAAAAAACAAAAACAAACAAGTTGAAAATTCATTTTCCCCAGAATTTTGAGTGTCATGTGTTTTGGCATCCGTGTTATGGGAAGTGCCATGCCAGTTTGCTTCCACTTTTTCCCTCCTCTCCACATAAGCTGCAGGATCTTCTCTCTGTGTTCTGAAACGTCACAGGAGATGAAGGTCTTTTTTCATCCTTTTCCCTGGCATCCTGGTGTCCCTTTCATCTGAAAATTCATGTCTTTTATTTCTGGAAAATGTTCTTATGTTATCTACTTAATTGTTTCTTTCCTTCTGTTTTCTATCCTCTCTTTTCTGAAACTCCCTCTAGTCTAGTGATGTACATCTTGGAATAACCTCTAATGTTCTAATTTCTTTTTCCTACTTTTCATTCTACTGTTTTTTATTCTGCTTTCTGAGAGATTCCTAATCTTTATCTTCCAGTCCATCTATTGCATTTTTAAGTTTGGTTATCCTATGTGCAGTTCCTAAGCCCCCTTTCTTGTTCTCTGATCCTGTTTGTGTTTGTAGATGCGACCTTTTATCTCTCCGACAGCGTTCCTTAGAGTTGTTTTGTTCGAGTTCCTTCTGCTTCCTGTATGGTCTGTTTCCTCTGAGTTCCTTTTCTCTGATTGTTTTGGTCTTCGTCTTTTATGTAATAAGATGTTGGTGACCTTGGCTGTCTGCTCCTATTTAAGAATGAATCACTTCAGAGCCAGCTAAAGGCTGTCGGGGGTGTGGGGTTTGTCTCTCTAGGGACACTGGGCTGGAAGTGTTGGGGGGTCCCCCCCATGGCTATCTATAGGCCCTTTGTCTGGGACTGTTCAGTTCCTCTAGAGAATCCTTTAATCTCCAGCCTGCAGTGGCAAGGAGGCGGGCAGAGGGTAGAGGGCTGGGGTAGGGGTAGAAGCCTGTTCGTAGAGGCCTGAAAACTAAGTGGCCAGGGGCTGGGGCTTTTACCATTCAGCATGATCATGTCCGTTAAAAAACAGAATCTGATTTAAGTGTTTATGCTTAAAAATAAAAAAGAATCTGAGCCATACATCTAGCTTAAAATTTTCTAGTAGCCACAGTCCACACAGTAAAATGAAACAGGTGATATTTGTTTTAATAATCTATTCTGTTTAACCCAAGGTAACCATAATAGTATCATTTCAATGTATAATTAATATAAAATTTGGAAATGATAAATTTTACTTTTTTTTTTTTTTTGGAGGCAGATTTTCTCTCTTGTCACCCAGGCTGGAGTGCAGTGGTACAGTCTTGACTAGCTGCAACCTCTGCCTCCTGGGTTCAAGCGATTCTCCCACCTCAGCCTCCTGAGTAGCTGGGATTATAGGTGCCCGCCACCATGCCTGACTGATTTTTGTATTTTTAGTAGAGATCGGGTTTCACCATGTTGGCCAGGCTGGTCTCTTGAACTCCTGACCTCAGGTGATCCACCTGCCTCAGCCTCCCAAAGTGCTGGGATTACAGGTGTGAGCCACCACGCCCGGCCTCATATTTTACTTTCTTTTATTTGCCTTCAAAATCTAGTATCTGTCTTGCACTTAGTGCACAACTCAGTAGGGACCAGCCACATACCAGGTCCTCAGGAGCCACCTTGAGCGCTGGTATAGACCATCACTCCATTCCTGCTCGGCGGAGCACCCGTTCTAGCCCTCTGCTGGGCTGCAGCCCTGTTTTCCTTGGCTCAGTTTTCCCAGAGAAGAAACTCTGTCGGGGACATGCAGCTAACTATTTGGTCTCCTGAGGGTAGTGCTGGCTGCCTGGGGTGGTTATCTGTTTCTTATCCAGACTTCAAACCATTGTACGGCCCCAGCCCCACCCTGCCTCCTGCCTCCTGGGTACTGGGTGCCCTGGCCCTAGGGCCTCCTTGGGTATTTCCCCAGCGTCATTGCCCAGACAGCACTTCTGTTGCAGCTTCCTCTGCTCGGAACGTCAGCTGCCGCTCCTCTGCCAGCCGTCTGTGTTCCTAAGCGTGTGGCAGTCTCTCCTCCACTCTGCCCTTCCTTCTCAGTCTTTGTCCTTGCGGGCTTTTACCATTTCTATTTCTTTGTTATCATTTTAGAGGAGCTTCAGGGGAAGTAGGGTTAAATGTATGAGTTCAGTTTGCCATGTTTAACTAGAAGTCAGGAAATGTTGTTGCATTTTCTCTTCCAAATTGTTATGGACCTGATCTCATCTCTAGTCCAAAATATGCTTCTGTTTAAACATGACAGTGATGGCTTACCTTAGCCATTAGTTGTAATGGCCAAGCTTTTTACAAACCAATATTTGAATAAAATCAATGTTTCTTTCATGACCTGTGCCCACCCCTTCTCTGCCTCCTCCTCCCCACTGCAGAGGAGGGAGATGGCCAGGCAGATCACAGTATGAGATGGGGGTTCTACCAGCTCCCTCCATGGATCCACGAGCTTGCCCAGGAGTCCCAGCCCCTCTGTGCTCCACAGTGGTCCTCTAGAGTCCAGCCCTGGTTCCCCGGAGACCCCTAACATCAAGCGGCCTTTGGGATCCTTCTGATTCTGCCACAGTTCCCAGGCCATGCCTGGCACCCTTGAGGCGCAGGGCACCATGTTCACACAGGATGGCAGAGGGATCTCTGCAGACACCAAATCTTGGCACCTGCTCAGTAGCTGGGCTGGGGTAACTGCTTGTTCCTGTTCCCATATGTGTGCTGAAAATTGAGTCCTGTCTCCTCTGCATCTCCCTTTATTTTTAATCCTCAGGTTCTCCAGCCATTTTTGTTGCTTTGTGGGCTATCGCCAGACACTTTCTGGAAGACATTGGGTAAGCTGCTGGAAGGAGGATACCAAGAATGTAGCTGACATCGTCCAGGTGTTCAAACAGCACAGATACGTCTTTGGAGCTATCTAGGAAAGGCCTTTTTTTCAAAGTAGAGGCCATGATGAGTTCCTTAGAGTGATGCTCACTGCTTCCCAGGTGTGAGTTTCCAGGTGGGCCGAGCAGCCTTGGCCACCATCCTGGCCTTCCTGGTCTGCACCACCCTGGCCTTCCTATCTTCTTGCTTCCTGTCTGCTCTGTGTGTGGGTCAGATGCCAGACAAGAGCTACGCGACTCCAGGCAGGTGTCACTCCATGGAGGAAACTCAAGGAAGGGCCAGCCCAGCTTTCCCTTCCTCCTGGGATCTCCCTCGTGGATGCCTCTTTACCCCTGGGTGTTTAGGAGCCCTGCAGAGTCAGGCTCTAAAGAAGTCGGGCATTGAGGGTGGAGGTGAGCCCATGGGACTCACCTGGGAGTAGGTACCTGGGAAGCAAGCTTGAAAGAAGATCGGCTGAGGTCGCACAGTTGCACTCCAGCCTGGTGATGGAGCAAGACTCCGTCTCAAAAAAAAGAAAAGAAACTTGGGGAGAGGCGAGGCAGCAGGGCAGTGTGGGAGTTGATTTCTCAAGGGTATAATGACACAACCAGGCCAATAAGTGGATGAGGTCAAATGAGACATCCAAGTGTCTATAGTCCAAATTCAGCCCCAAATAATTGCTTCAAAATAATTTTTGTATTGGGTGAATTCACTTTTTAAAAAAGTCTGGATTTTTCAGCCCATCTAGAAAAAAAAAAAATGGAGAGGTCTTTTAAGATGCTCCATTTTTCCTTGTGGCAAAAATGAGCTGGAGCAGAGCTGCGGCTGTCTTGGACAGGGCACATGCTCCCCAGTTTGCCAAGTACCCTCCAGGCCTGATGTCCCCGCATCTTGAGGTTGCACATCAACCATCCACCGCTTCACTTGCTGTTGTCATCTTCCTGGCCTCTGTTGGTAGCTGAGTTTGCCACTGTGCTCGCTGGTGAATTCTGACAGTGAGCTAACTTTTGGGTCTGGGAGTCTCCTGGCTCTCAGGTTCTCGCAGGGAGACAGGTGGCCACTCCTTCAGCCCCAGCAGTGCTCCTGGGTGGCAGGAGGGGGTGGGTTCTAACGGTGCTGTGCACACAGCCCAGGGGCTCAGTGCCACAAACATGGGTCCTTCATACCAAGGGCCACCTCAGGGAACATGTCCTTGCTGGTCAGCCCAGCTCCCACTTGTAATCATGCCCAGCTGTCCCTCCCTTAGGTGCTGGGACATCAATGCCAACACATCCATCTGGTGGATCATTCGCGGGCCTGTGATCCTCTCCATCCTGGTGAGTGGCCCTCCTCTCCCGAGATGGGGATCAGTGGAAGAGACAGAAACAGTGACTAGCCCACAGGGGCAGAGGGCAGGGTTGGGGACAGGGCTCCCTGCAGGTACCAGGAGGGATAAGCCACGGTGCTTGTGAGATTAGCGAGCGTCACGGTGGTATGGAAGCTCTGCTGCCTACAAAATGAGTGGGAGTGGGGTGAGGGGTGGGCTGGAGGCAAGAGCCTGCAAACCTTGTTCTTTCCCACGAGCAGCAGCTCAAATGTGGTGAGCAGAGCTCCTTGTTTTATACTGACTGGCTCCCACTGGCTTGCAATTCCACCTTCACCTATGGGCCTTGAGCATTTTTCTAGGGAGTTGCTTGTTAACCTGGGATGAGTCCCTAAGCTGAGATCACTGACGAGGGAGTGCAGATCAGGCAAGCTCAGTGAGGCCATGGTCGTGGGACTTTGCAGTGCTGCGAGTGGGTTCAGGCCTGCAGGGGGGGCCCCAGGGAAGAGATGCTGGCTATCTTGGACAGGAGCTTGCGGGTGTCAACCCTGGTGGCCCTTTCGAATCACCTGGGAGCTTTTTAAAAATACTGACAGCTAGCGATTCCATTCCTTTTTCTGGCAAGAGGCCGGCATACTGGTACCCAGGCGATTCTTCTCTGTGCCAGGACAGAGTCCTGTAGCCCTGCCCATGGGTATGGGTCAGAATAGGGGGACAGAGGAGGGAAGACACATAGGGACACATGGGAATAGTTTCATGGATGGAAGCAGTTCCGTGGCTGAAACTAATGTCCACACAGACAGCCCAGGAATGCCCAAGGCTGCAGAACCAGTTGAAAGAGAGTGCCCTGCACAGGCTTGCTAGGGTGGGACTGGGGGAGAGGGCACAGGACAGGGCCCCTTTTCTTCCGGTAGCTGCCTGCATGGCATCTTGGGATTGGTTGAGAGAAGGGGACCATTCCAAGACAACCTTATTTTATTCTTTTTAAATTATATAATCTGAGCAAAAAATGCAAAATACAAAATGTTTGTTTTTGTTTTACTCTTTGGGACAGGGTCTCACTCTTGTCACCCAGGCTGGAGTGCAGTGACGCAATCATGACTCACTCCAACCTCCATCTCTTGGGTTCAGGTGACCCTCCCACATCAACACTTGAGTAGCTGGGACTACAGGCTCCCGCCACCACAACCAGCTAATTTTTTGTAGAAATGAGGTTTCACTGTGTTGCCCAGGCTGGCCTTGAACGCCTGGACTCACGTGATCTGCCCGTCTCAGCCTCCCAAAGTGCTGGGATTGCAGGCGTGAACCACTATGCCTGGCACAAAATGTCTTTTTTAAAAAGGAAAAATAAAATCACTCCTGATTCTCCCAGCTATACATATATGTTATGAGCATGTGTTATCCTTCCTGTCTTTTTCTTCTGTCTTTTTCTTTGAGCAGACACACTTTTCTTTTTCAAATTCCTTAATATAGTCTTGTGTCCTAATTCGTTTTTTTTTTTTTTTTTTTTCTTTCTAGCAATAGATGGGCACTTTTCTGTTTCATGTGGAATCCCTTGACAAACTGATTTGCTATGGCTTCATAATATTCATGCCGGAGGCTGTTTCCTCATTTAGTTAAGCCAGCCCTGCTGTTATTCTGGGACTTGGGCAGCCTGGCCCAGGACAACCCCCGATTAAGAACGGCCAGTTCCAGTGTCCAGGGCTGGTTTCAGAGGACTGTGGTCTACCCAGCGATTGAGGATGTTGGATGAGCACTCTTGATGCAAAACATCTCCCTACCAACCTAGCACAGGGCCTGGAATAACACTATTTAAAAATAGACTCATTCTTGGGATCTTAAAGATTTCTTTCTTTTTCTTTCCTTCCTTCTTTTTCTTTCTTTTTTCCTCTTTCTTTATTTTGCCTTTCTTTCTTTCTCTCTCTCTCTCTTTCGTCTTTCTGTCTTTATCTCTATTTCTCTTTGTCTTTCTCTTTCTTTCTTTCTCTCTTTCTCTCTCTCTCTCTCTCTCTCTCTCTCTCTCTCTCTCTCTCTCTTTCTTTCTTTCTTTTCCTTTCTTTCTGCCTTCAGGTGCTCCCTATTAAGTTAAATACAACTCAAAGTCAAACAAAATTAAACTAAGTAGCCTTAATGAGTTGACAGCATGCATAGCCAGCTTACAAAAAGATGCCTAAACAAGGCACAGAGAAACAGGGTTCTCCAAAACGCAGTGCTGGGCCAGGAGTCCTAGACAGCCACTAATCCTGTGTCTTTTGGCAAGCATTCTCAGGCCCCCAGCCACTCATGTGAACAGTGCAGGTGTGAGGCTGGGTGATACCACTGATCCCTGCTTCTATAAAATGGCTGGAGCAGGTGGGTGAGGGAGGGAGAGAAGCTACCATGTGGGCAGCTTCGTAATGTTGTTGGCACTGGGCACTGGGGTAGGGGAGGGGACACCAAAATGAATAAAAAGGCTGCATTCCCGTCCTTCAAGAAGTTACGGTTGAACTCGCAGAGAAGTAGTCACACACGTTTGACGGACACATGCATTTGACCTTCTACGATATTTTATCTCCCAATTGTAGTTTGCAAGAAAAAAAAAAGATATTTTAAGTGCTCTTACACAGTAATATTATCCCTAAATACAGTGAATCAGAAAAAGGAAGTAATCAGGGTGGCTTCCTGGAGCTGGCGATTGAGCTGCAAAGTGGTCCTCACACCAGTAGCTTCAGCATCACCTGGGAGCTTGTTAAAAATAATAATTCTTGGACCCCATGCCAGACTTACTGAACCATAACCTGTGGAGGTAGAGCCCATCAATGGGTACCCTAAACTTTGAGAACAACTGCTGTAAAGCCAGTCAGCTTTGGCATCATATTACCTGGGAGCTTGTTAGAAATGCAGAATCTGAGGTCCACCTCAACCCTGCTTTTTTTTTTTTTTTTTTTTTTTCCTGAGACAGAGTTTCAATCTTGTTGCCCAGGCTGGAGTGCAATGTTGTGATCTCAGCTCACCGCAACCTCTGCTTCCCAGGTTCAAGTGATTCTCCTGCCTCAGCCTCCTGAGTAGCTGGGATTACAGCCATGCGCCACCACGCCCGGCTAATTTTGTATTTTTAGTAGAAATAGGATTTCTTCATGTTGGTCAGGCTGGTCTGGAACTCCAGGCCTCAGGTGATCTGCCCGCCTCGACCTCCCAAAGTGCTGGGATTACAGGCGCGAGCCACCCCCGGCCCAGACCTGCATTTTAACAATATCCCCAGGGGCTTCCAATGCTCTGCAAGGGTGAGTGATCTGCCCTGCAACTGAACAGGCCTTATCGCTCCTGCAGTGCCGGGATAGGAGGGAATGCTGTCTCTAGCCATGGACTCTGTCTAGACAGTCTGTTTTGGGGGTGGGGAGGTGTCGTTGGTGGGCAGCAGTGGTGAGCTATCCTGCTTGTGGTGTCTGCAATGTCTTCTCTGACCTCAGGTCCAGGGGACAGGGCCAGGAGAGGTAGCTGGAAAAGCAAGATACCTTTAGCCCCACCTCTGCCTTGTGTTTTGCAGATTAATTTCCTCCTTTTCATAAATATTCTAAGAATCCTGATGAGAAAACTTAGAACCCAAGAAACAAGAGGAAATGAAGCCAACCATTATAAGTAAGTAAAGGGCAAAGACTGAGGCATAGTCAGTCAGCACGCTTTTACTGAGCACCTACTGTTTACTCAACTGGTGCTAGCTATTGGAGATGGAGGAAAAGTTGTAGATCTAGTCCTGAGAAGTTTACCAGGTACATGGCGGCGGTTGGGGGGAATGGTCTGATGGTAGAGCCTCAGACACTGTATGGGATGGAAACATGAAGACATCTCAGGCAGGAAGCCCTAGGTAGAGAGATCTCATCCTGGGGGCAAGGCTAGGGAGTCTCTGCATGGGCTTCAAAGACAAATTCAGACAAATGTGTTTATGTACAGTATGTGTATTTTTCCGAGGAGGATGACCTTAGTTTTCATCAGATTTTTAGGGAGGTATGTGATCCAAAAATACTTAAGACCTTTCAAATTGAAAGAGAAATACATTAGTTTTCTAGGGCTTCCATAACAAAATATCGCAGGCTAGGTGGCTTAAACAGCAGACATTTATTTTCTCAGAGTTTTGGAGGCTGAAAGTCCAAGGTCAAGGTGTCCACAGGTTTGGTTTCTTCTGAAGCCTCTCTCTTTGGCCTTCTCACTGTGTCCTCGCACGGCCTTTGGTCTGTGTGGGGGCATCCCTGGTGTCCCTCTGTGTGTCCATATTTCCTCTTTTTGTAAGGACACTGGTTGATTGATTCGGCTCCACTCTACCCTCACTTTAACTTAGCCTCCTCTTTCAAGACCTTTCTCCAAATGCTGTCACATTCTGAGAACTGGGGGCGAGGGCTTCAGTGTAAAAATTTGACATGGGTGTGGACATAATTCATTCCATAACTGTTATTAAAGACAAATTAGTGGCCAGGCGCAGTGGCTCATGCCTATAATCCCAGCACTTTGGGAGGCCAAGGCGGGCGCATCACTTGGGGTCAGGAGTTCGAGACCAGCCTGGTCAACATGGTGAAACCCCATCTCTACTAAAAATACAAAAATCAGCCAGGTGTGGTGGCACGCGCCTGTAATCCCAGCTACTCAGGAGGTTGAGACAGGAGAATCGCTTGAACCAGGGAGGTGGAGGTTGCAGTGAGCAGAGATCGTGCCACTGTACTCCAGCTTGCATGACAGAGCAAGACTCTGTCTCAAAAAGAAGTAAACGAAACAAAAAAGACAAACAAGACCAAGACTGCCTCCATGCTGCTTTGTGTTTTGAGAATCTGACAGTGGCTTGGATTACTTGGTGTCAGATTCCTGGGGACCTGGGATAAAGTTGCCAGGTAAAATACAGAATGTCAAGTTACATTTGAATTTTGGATAAACAACAAATCGTTTTTCAGTATTTATGCCCCCAAAGGATAGAAATTCAAATTTAACTGGGGATTCTGTATTTTTATTTGCTAAGTTTGGCAACCTTAATCCAGGAAGAAAATACAAGAATTTCTCCTTATAGATATTTACTGTCTAGCAAATGAGAAAGCTGCTTTGTTTATATGATGTTAGGCATAGAGTAGCAATGATATAGGCATGCAATTTATAAATAAAGTTAATGGTGATTTTTTTTTCTTTTTACTGATAGAGGTGCATGATCACAAAATTTGGGGCTTCGCCATGAGTCAACAAGAGTTGTATCTGAGTGATTGACCTGTGGGTCTTGGAAATTTTCAATAGAAAAAAAATGACAACAAAAATGTTTTAGCACTGCTGGGCAGCCTCAGCAGTGAGTCCTGAGGTGGGGAGTGGCATAGCTGTGTGCCGGCCGGAGGAGGAAGGGCGCGGGGAGGCAGAGTGGAGGCTGCAGCGTCTCTGTGTCCCCAGGCGCCTGGCCAGGTCCACACTCCTGCTGATCCCCCTCTTTGGCATCCACTACATCGTCTTCGCCTTCTCCCCGGAGGACGCCATGGAGATCCAGCTGTTTTTTGAATTGGCCCTTGGCTCATTCCAGGTAAGCTTCCAGGACTGGGGCTGCAAGCTGAAAAGAGGAGTTCTCTCTGTCCTTAGGGAGAAGTGGAGGCTGTAGAGACAGCAAGCCAGATGCCTTATCTGGCAGAGACCCAGGGGAAGCCCGGATGGGACCTGACAGTGCTACGGGCCCGTGAGTGGGACGCCTGGTCCGCACCAGTCAAATAGGGGTGAGAGAGAAAATTAACAGACGGAGAGACTGACTTCAGGGAAAATAAAAAGGAAAAGTAGCCCCAGTACACTCTATTGTACAACTCTCAATAGCATGCACATAATCAAAATAACTAAGTGCGGATGGCTGAGTCAGCAAACACTGGGGCAGAAGATGAGCCTTGTGGAAGGGTGGAGCGCATGTTTGGAAGAGAACACTGGCCTCATCTTCATACTGGGAAGTTCATAGAAAATGCCCTAGACTGAAAAATCCTCAATTAGCGACATCAGCATATTTTTTAGAAGCAGTTAAGAGAGTTTCAAGGAGTAGTCACAGCTGAGGAACAGGAAGTGAGGGTGGGGTGTCAGGAGGCTGCTGGTTCTGTAACAGGAATTGTTTGCTTCTTTGAAACCATGTGTATTTGCAAATTATTAAAACTAAAAACTGACTTTACAAAATAAAGTGAGGTAGAAAATCACTTACCTACAAATTCAACAAGATGTTGTGAAGTTAAAAACAACAATAGCAAAAGTGTTTGAGCAGAGGGAGCGTGAACGTGAATCCCAAACTTCACAATGCCATTTATTTACTCAGCGATTTCCTTGCAAAAATAATGCAATGTCGCTTTTGGGAAAAACATACAAAGGACAAAAAAATAAGCAGATGAAGGATCAGTAAAAAAAGAATATACAACTGGTTGGGTTGCTACACAGAAACAAATATGATAAAGTTCCAAACGGGAGGGAGAGATGGGTCATAAGCGTGGTAGGCAGGGAGCTTCCCAGTAGCCAAAGCAAAGACAAAACAATCGTTTCAAAGCTTTGCTTATCCATAAGATGAAATCAAACGAATGGCCAGGAGAAGCCAGTGATTATGGACTCTAGGGCCTGAGACAAAATTCTCCCAGTGGGTTTTTTTTTTAATTGTACTTTAAGTTCTGGGGTACATGTGCAGATCTTGCAGGGTTGTTGCATAGGTACACACATGCCACGATGGTTTGCTGTCTTCATCCCCCCATCACCTACATCAGCCATTTCTCCCAATGTTATCCCTCCCCAACCTCCCCACCCCCAGCTGTCTCTCCCCTAGTCCCCCACCCCACAACAGATCCCAGTGTGTAACATTCCCCTCCCTGTGCCCATGTGTTCCCATTGTTCAACACCTGCCTATGAGTGAGAACATGCAGTATTTGGTTTTCTGTTATTGTGTCAGTTTGCTGAGAATGATGGTTTCCAGATTCATCCAGGTTCCTACAAAGGACACAGACTCATCCCTTTTTTATGGCTGCATAGTATTCTGTGGTGTATATGTGCCACATTTTCCCTGTCCAGTCTAGCATTGATGGCATTTGGGTTGGTTCCAGGCATTTGCTATTGTAAGCAGTGCCGCAATGAACCTACTTGTGCATGTGTCTTTATAATAGAATGATTTATAATCCCTTGGGTATATACCCAGTAGTGAGATTGCTGGGTAAAATGGAATTTCTATTTCTAGATCCTTGAAGAATGGCCACACTGTCTTCCACAATGGTTGAGCTAATTTATACTCCCACCAACAGGGTAAAAGTGTTCCTATTTTTTTTTAAAGGACTTAGTCCACAGTAGGGCCTTCACTGGGGTGGCCTCCGCCTGCGAGCAGGGGCTCAAACCCTCCCCTCATCCCCAGAGCTCTGTTCAGGGTAGGGTCTTCCTGTTACTTGCAGGTTCTGGGGAGGATGCATCACTGAGTGGAGTCAGGCCTTGCCCCACCCACACCTTCAGGCCACACCCTCCTTTAAGCTGGCCCTCTGCCCAATGGCCCCTGTCAGTGCCTCAGACCTCCCGAGAACCCAGCCTCTGGCTTAATCCAGGCTTCTTTTCCTTTTCGCCTGGGGGGCCAGGCAGCTAGCTTACACCACTGCTCTTGTAACAGCCAGGGAGGCTGGGCACACGATGCCCATTTAGCAGGTAGAGGATTTGAGGACCAGTTGGGTGGAAGGACTTAACCTGGCTCAGAAAAGGTACCACGCTGAGACCTTGGACCCGGGTCTGCCTGGCCATGGATGGGGACTTCCTGTCCCTCAGAGCTGGGGCTAGTGGTTGGGGCTGTGGACCACTTCTCTGGGAAAATGTCCTGTCAAGAGAAAACCAAAAGCACTTTCCTAATGTTCTCATAGGAATGCTCATGAAGAAAAAGGATCTTTAAAAGTTGTGTACAAAAAAAAAAGAAAAAAAAAGTTGTGTACGAATATATATATGCATATATTCTTATATATGCACACACATATAAAATATATATGTTCATATACATATATGAAAATGTCTTTCATATACAAAAGTGAAGAGGAGAGTGAACTCCATTACCCATCCTCAGCTTCAGCAGTATCCACTCAGGGCCTCTCTTGTTTCATCTCTGTCCCTACTTACCACCCCATCTTTTTAAGTAAATTCAAGACATCATGTTGTTTGAGCTGCAAACACTTTAGTATGTATTTCTAAAAGGCAGGGGCTTAAAGAACACACACGACTAATAACACAATCACTGTCACGCACCCTTTTTTTGTTTTTGAGACAGAGTCTCACTCTATCACCCAGGCTGGAGTGCAGTGGCACAGTCTTGGTTCATGGCAACCTTCACATCCCGGGTTCAAGCAATTGTCCTGCCTCAGCCACCCAAGTAGCTGGGATTACAGGCGTGCGCCACCACACCCAGATAATTTTTGTATTTTTAATAGAGGTGGGGGTTTCACCATATTGGTCAGGCTGGTCTTGAACTCATTGACCTCGTGATCCACCTGCCTCGGTTTTCCAAAGTGCTGGGATTATAGGCGTGAGCCACTATGCCCGGCCTTCATATACTCTTTAAAAATGTATTTAGACTTTCTGATTGTATAAATAATGCTTGCTTATTGTGACTAATTTGGGAAATAAGGAAAAGTTAAAAAAAGAAAAAGAAAAACAAGAAGAAAAAAATCTATCATCTCATAACCCAGAAATAACCTCTGTTGGTGTTTACTTCTGTCTCTTTTCTGGCCACAAAGACACACACACACACACACACACACACACACACATACACACCCATAATTGGGATCACGATGTGTATGGTTTTGTATCCTGCTTGTTTTGTTTAATTCTCTATCATGCCCATCATGAACATTTCTTCATGTCATTAAAATTCTTCAGTCTCCATTCTTAATGATCGCAGAATCACGGTGGAAATTAGTAAACTTGCTGTCTTGAGTGAGGCCTGCCCCATATACACTGGAGCACAGCTAACTCCCTCCCCTGAACAGTGAAAAATGTCCTTGGACCCCAAGGCAGGGGAAGGCAGGCAACCGCAGCCCATGCGGTGGGCAGAACCCTCGGCCTGCCTGTGGCTCTGGGCCAAGCACACAGAGCTCCAGGCGTGCCTAAACCTCTTCGTGCCTCAGTTCCCCTGCGTGTAAGGTGGAGATCCTCCCACTTGCCTCGAAGGGCTTTGGCAAGGATTAAATGAAGCACCTGGGACCAAGAGTCCTACAATTACTCAGGCCTAGCTGTGCTCCGATCCGAGTCTGTTTTGTTTCAAAGCCTACCTGGAAGTGCCTTTTACTCTGTCTTTGACAGTAGTTTCCAGACCATGATGCCCGTTTATTGAAACTGTCTGGGGATCTTTAAAAGCTGCTGATGCCCCCAGATATTGGGAACTGGGGACTGTAACCTGGACAAAAGGTCTCAGGTGATTCTAACGTGGAACAAAACTTGGACACCAATGCCCTGAGTGTTTCTGCCCCTCAGATAGTCCCCAGTCAATGCAGCAGTCATTGACACCTGAAATTCTAAAGCAGACCCCTCCAGCTTCACCACTAACTTTTGTTAAAATGCCAATATCCCTGAGAAGTTGTACATATTAAGCCCACCAATGAGCTGATTCATCACCCTTTGGGGTCCTTTCCAATATCGTAAGTAACTACAGGCAGGCCTGGGTGGGACTAGGAAGGAGGGATTGGGCTGTCTGCGGTCAGGCCTCTGTGTGGGGAGGGCAGGGAGACATGGGTGGCTTGAGGCGGGTCCCTGAGAAAGGAGATGAGCAGGGCGAATGCACTGCAGAGACACCACTTCCTGCTGATCTGTGGGCCTCTTCGGCTCCAAGCAGTTGCGTCAGCCTGGAGTCCCTCCCCTGGCAGAGCTCCACGCCAGGATCCTGGGGGCACCATCAGGAAATCAGGAGCTTCAAATACCAGCGATGGAGGGTCTTACAGGCACAGACCTCGCCGCACCAGGGAACATAAAACCCTGAGCATGGAGGTGCACCCACTTGTCCATTAAGCAGGGAGGTCCAACCCTGCTCACTGCTGGCTGGCTGGGACCTGTACAGTTTGTTCTGACTACACATTTGTTTTTCAATTTGAATTAGTTATCCACATTTAAACATCTTCAGATTTCTAGCTTATCTTGAAACAAGACCACACAGGGCCCAGGGTCTCACCCTGGGCGGGCGTCACCCCTCCTAGCGGAGGGGCCACACTTCAGGAGCCACCCATCCCTGCTGCTCTCAGGTGAGCCGCCTGAGCCCAGCTGGCCGGGGTTAGCAGCCCCTGCTGACCTATCTCTGACACCACATGTGTTCGAAAGGGAGCCCACCTTTGGCTGCAGGGAGTTCGCAGTCTACGCTGGATGAGCCAGCACAGCCAGGGACACCGTGGGCAGCCCACGAGAGGTAACTCAGTTCCCAGTGATGCGAGACAGGGGGGGAAGTGAACCTGCAGCTGGTGATTAAGAGACCTGGGGGCCAGGCGCGGTGACTCACGCCTGTAATCCCAGCACTTGGGAAGTTGAGGCGGGTGGATCACCTGAGGTTGGGAGTTCGAGACCAGCCTGACCAACATGGAGAAACTCCGTCTCTACTAAAAATACAAAATTAGCTGGGCATGGTGGCCCATGCCTGTAATCCCAGCCTCTTGGGAAACTGAGGCAGGAGAATCACTTGAACCCTGGAGGCGGAGATTGCTGTGAGCTGAGATTGCCTCATTGTGCTCTAGTCTGGGCAACAAGAGGGAAACTCCGTCTCAAAAAAGAAAAAAGAGAGAGACCTGGGGAGGGCACAGCTGGCTAGCTGGCTCAGGCCAGGTGGGCAGGGGCTGAGCACCTGCAGTAACCCTGCTGCCTCTATTCCTCTGGCAGGGACTGGTGGTGGCTGTCCTCTACTGCTTCCTCAACGGGGAGGTGAGTGGTCTTGGGTCACCCAGGTACCCAGGAGAGCTCCTAGCCATTGGATTCCAGGTCAGAAGGAGCTACCTGGAGGGGTGGTGGGGAGGGGGATGGAAAGGGTCGGAGGGAGTCCTGGGTCTGGTGGCAGGGGGCTCGGCCAGTTCTTTTAGGAGTCTGAGCTTGCTTAATGGGAGGAACAGAATCACCTGGAGGGATGTTAAAACCATGGCTGGACCCTGTTGCCAGTTTCTTATTCCACAAAAATAAATTCTGTAGGTCTGGGCTGGGGTCTGAGAAAGCGTTTTTTAACAAGCACTCCTGGTGACGATGTTTATCTGTTGAGAAAATGCAGGAGGAAAGTTGGGCAGAGCCCAGGTTCCTTACTGCCCTGCTGCTTGCTCAGTGGGCGATCTCGTCACTGCCCGGCTCTGGGCCTCAGTCTTCCCACATGCAAAGTGGGTGACTCAGAGGAACTGTCTGCAGCTCAGTCCTTAGGGATCTCCAGATGAGCATGGAATCCTTGGGAGACTGCACACTCACTTTGAGGACTCAAGCCTCGCACAGAGCATTTGGGTCAGGACCCCGGGCTCTGGGCATACAGAGCTATGTAGTCAACACGAGCTAGGCCTTTCTGTGACCTCCGACCATCTATCTGGTTTGCTGCACTTGAATGGGAGTGACCTTTGATGTTTCCCAAAAATCAAATATCAAGCCTAGCCTCAAAGGTTCAGCTCCTCCAGCTGGGAATTGTGAAGGAAATTTACAAAGAGCAACTCCCTGGGTCCCAGATGCGTTCTGAGCTTGGGTGGCTTCATGGGAGTAAGTGTCCAGTTGTCTCAGGTACACAGTCCTTTCTTTGGGACATGATGTAATGAGATTGCAGGTGCACATGCCCAGGAGAGAGGGGACCCTCAGTAACTACTGGACATTGGGGCTAAAAATGGCCATGAGTGGCCTGCAGGCTAGGGGACAGGACAGCTGGGCAGGAGTGGCAGGGCCTGTGTGGAGTCCCCAGGGGAGTGAGTGGGGCTCCAGGCACAGAACTGTCCTCTCCTCCTAGGCTGATGGCTGGTCTCCTGTCTCCCGGGCAGGTGCAGCTGGAGGTTCAGAAGAAATGGCAGCAGTGGCACCTCCGTGAGTTCACACTGCATCCCGTGGCCCTAAGCTCCTCCTTCAGTAACAGCCCTAAGGCCAGCCACTTGGAGCAGAGCCAGGGTACCTGCAGGACCAGCATGATCTGAGAGGCGGGAGCACAGCCACCCATGGACAGAGACCAAGACGGGTCCTGAGAAGGCTGGGCACTACTGCAGGACAGCCTGTCTTCCCAGCAGACACCCTATGCCCTCCTTCAGCTGAAGATACCCCTCCCCAGGCCTTGGACTCTTCAGAAGGGGCGTGGGGCACTGTGGGGCAGGACAAGGCCTGAGATTTGGTTTGTTTGCTCTTCTGGGAAGAGTAGTTCAGGGGTCCCAGAAAGGGACAGGGAAATAAGTGGTGCCTGGGACAAGATTTCGTCTATATTTGTCCATCCTTTTGCCTTGACACAAGATGAGGGTGTATCCTCTGGCCTGCTCCTAACCCCTTCCTGCAGGAGGAGGGGTCCGCCCTGGTCCTCTAGCTCAATTAATCAGGGATGAAACTAGAAGGCCCAGCCAACAGGAATTGCCCTTGGCAGCTCCGTGTGTCCCCTACTGTAACTCACCTGGTTAGTAGCTCTCACCCAAACCTTCTGGACAACAGCTAAAATAACCTGATAAAGTCACCATGGAGGCCAGGGAAACCCCAGGACCCCAGTCCCTTTTACTATCCCTCACAGGCTCTGAGGTACACACCCCTATTTTTCCTGCTTTTTCACACAGATGTCCTCAGCCTAAGGCAGATGCAGCAGGAAAAGGGGCATGATCCCATTTCATAGATGATAGGTCCACCAAAGCCCTGACTTGCCCAAGCTACTAAGAAAAGAGGAGGCAGAAGTTCAGTCCAGGGTGTTTGACTTTAAATGCCCAAGCTCCAAGGCTGTGTCAGTGCTCTCCCTGCTCCCAGGCAGGGAAGGACAGAAGCAGTCTGCTGCCCCACTAAGCTCCTGGGGACTTCAGTCTCATGCTCTACTCTTGTTCTCGGTTCCTCACTCCCCCCATGTGAGGGTGAAAGAGGACTCAATTGTTGAACATTTCAACAAAACAAAACCTACTCATGTTCAGGGGGTAGCGTTCTTGAGAGACGTAGAGAAACTCCCCTTTGTGTCAAGAAAAATGCATCTTGCTGGTGGCTGGGCCAGCTGTACTCCTGGCTTTGGGTGACCCTGGACAAGTGCATCCTCTCTGGGCCCTGACTCCCCACCTCTATCCCTCCCCTCTCCATGAAGAGACAAGGGAGTCACGTATCCCCTTTGCAACTTGTGGATTGCCCCAGGTTCCCATTTCCCAGGCTAAGATGTAACTGTGTGGTGGATGAGCTCCGTACTCTGTAAAACTGAGCAATTCACAGAAGCCTGTCTGGGGTGATCTCCATGGACTCTGGGCATCTTGGTAGTTCAATCTTAGAGTCCATGGCCTTACATCCTACAAAGCAGACTGCTTCATGACTCCATGCATCTTGGAATAAGAATTTTAGAACATCACAACAGAGGTAGGTGTAGGCGCTCAGCCCAGACCAGGAAGGGAAGCTGCAGTGACAAGAGCAGGGCAGAGACCAAAAACCCATGCAATTGCTGGGAGCCGGAATTCACCAGGTGAGGGAGCGGGAAGAGGTGGGTGTAGAATGAAATGGACTGCAGGCAATAACCTCACCTACTTCTGGGCAGAAAAAGAACTAGAAAGGGAGTACTTTAATGAACAGAAATCCAGATGCGCTAGCAAGGATGGAAATCTCCACTGGTTCCTGGCCCCTTTCAACTCCACACATCCCCAGGATGGGTGTTAATCATTACCCAACCTCTGGCTGTTCCCCCTCACCCCCTGCAGAGTCCAGCAGGTCTAGATCTGTGCTCTTTGAAATGTGTTCTGGGATTAAAAATGGTGCCCTAAGGCTGTCTGACCCTCACAGTAGATAGACACGTGCGCGCGTTCCTTGGGGAGGGCTGCGTATTAGCAGTCAGGTGGGCCCTCCAGGGAGGGCTTGCTCAAGAACACTTCTTGAAAGACAAAGGAAAGCCACCTTAAGGTAGAGTTCTGATAGGCAGACCTCCCAGAGGGGACAGCCAGCTGCTAGAAGCTGGGGTTATCCAGAGTTTGCAAGGTTCCCACAAAGGGCAGGGAGGCAAACCAAGTAAAATGGTTTGAAAACCTACTGTGTGCAAGGCCTTCTGAGGGAATCCTGAACCCTGCCTCTTTGGCACGATCAAAGATGAAGCCAGGGACATACACACGAAGGACCTTTGAGCTGATGGAAGAAACTCCTCGGCACTATTGGCCCCTTAGCTGGAAGAACCATTCTTAACAACCCTGGGAGCCCCAGGGATTCCGCAGCCCCCATCCCAGCACACGTCAATGAAACAGGCATGAATTATCCTTGGCTATGCAGCTAGCTCAGACACAGTTATCCTGCTGCTTCCAACTCTATTCCAGTCCAGGGAAGAAAATTCAAGAAAGTCATTAAAAAAATTTTTTTTTCTTCTTCTAAAACCAACATCTGGCTATGCCTGTGCAGCTGGTGGCACTGAGGCACCCTCCTGGCCTCTGGCCCTGCAGACCAGCTGCAGAGGCCCCCAGACCGTTTCTGACTGACCACCCACGAGTTATTGGCAAAGAGGCAGCTGTTTCAAGGTCCTTGTCCCACCCCAGCCCCACCAGAGGCCACATGTTGACAAAGTCCCATCTTGACCACACTTTCTTGTAGAACTTGATGTCCCTGGAAGAGGCCTAAAATTTCCACGGTTGTTCCCAGGGATGGGTGATGCTGTTGATGTGAAGGCCACTGATGGCGTTCAGGAAGAAGAGGAAGGAGGCAGTGAATTCACACCAAAACATCAGGGTGAAGCCGATGAGTGTGACTTGGTTTCTGAGGAGGATCACAAAACCCAGGAGCCCCCCGGAGGAGAGGACGAAAGAGACCAGGAGGAGGATGGAACCCATGATCCACTTGGGCCGTGAGTGTTTGTCCTCGCACACCTGGGACACCATGAGGAGCTCCAGGCCAAAAATGGCGGCCACCACGGCCAAGGCACCCACGCTGCGCACCAGGCCCATGCCCACGGCCAGCCCGGGCACATGGGCCTGGCCCAGGTCTCTGAAGCAGGTTGGTGCACTCTGGTTGGTGGCGGTGCAGATGTGCCAGAGCCCGAAGAGGCGGTCCTCAGCCAGGAGCCAGCGCCCGTCACAAATGGAGACCGAGGACAGGACTACAGCCAGGGCCACACACGTGATGATGAGGGTCCGGATGAAGGATTCAAAGAACGAGCGGCAGGGCTGCCTTTGGCCCAACGGCCTCTGGGCCTGGAAAACACCACAGGAGGCACCCTGTCAGCCACAGCCCCGCCACACCCCAGCACCCTCTGCAGGGAAGACCCCTGAGCCACCTTCCCGCTCCCCACAGTCTGATTTTCTGCTCCAGTCTCCTGTGAAGCCCGGAACAGAGCAGATCCATCATCTTTGGGGAACCCTTCCTCCCTTCTAGACCCGTGAGCATTTACCATCCAGTATTCACCAGGCGCTGAGAGTTCCCTGAGCTTTCCTTCTTGTGGGTGAGAAATCCATAACAACTGCAAATCTGCATCAGTTCTGAGTTCAGAAAACCTGTTGTGTCTGCCTCCTGTGACCTTGAGCATGCAGCCTGCCTCGATTTCTTTATACACAAAACAAGAATACGGCCTGGCAGAGGGTTGTACCAAGCACCAGGACTTTAGCACACCGACACACAATCCTGTTTCCCTCCATCTCCCCAGGACACACATGATTTTGTCCAAACCGCCACCCACCTGATGATTCTGAGCTGTCCACGTTCAGCCCAGGTTACTGCCTTGTTTTCTTCGGTGCTGAAAGTGACATTTGCACCTTGGACTTGCGCAGCCCGTTCCCTACCCAGAGCTTGCCAACCCCACTGTCTGCTCCTGCAGCTTCCGGGAGTGGGAAGGCCATTGCAGCTCTCCTTCACCTCTGGTTCAGCTCTGGAAGGAGGTGCCCTCACCCTGGTCTCCTGGCAAGCCAGGCTAGGTGTCCAGCGAGGTGTCTCATCTCACAGTCCAGGGACATGACCCAGGCATTGCACACAAGCCCTGACCCAGAAGGCAAAAAGAAAGACTTCTGGGACTCTTTTTTTTTTTTTTTTTTTTTTTTTTTTTTGGGGTGTTTTTTTTTTTTTTTTTTTTTTTTTTTTTGGCAGGGATAGACTCTCACTCTGTCACCCAGGCTGGAGTGCAGTGGTGCAGTCTCGGCTGACTGCAACCTCCGCCTCCCGGGTTCAAGCGATTCTCCTGCTTCAGCCTCCTGAGTAGCTAGGCTTACAGGCGCCCACTACCACCACATCTGGCTAATTTTAGTAGATGAGATTTCACCATGTTGGTCAGGCTGGCCTCAAACTCCTGACCTCATGATCCACCCGCCTCACCCTCCCAAAGTGCTGAGATTATAGGCGTGAGCCACCGCGCCCAGCCAGGAACTCTTTACACAGCGCACAAAACGCTTACAATTCACTCCGCCTCCCCGCCCAACCTCAGCTCCCAGCGTACTCCCTTCTCCCCATGTCTAGAACTTTCTTTCCTCAGATGACGGGCCCTTCAGCCTCTAGAGGCTTTTCTGCAGCTTCCTGCCACCCCCCCCCCCAGAGCCTGGCTGTAGACCCTCCAACAAGCGCCGTAGCTGCCGCACCAGATGGCGAGGGTCGGTGCACCGCCTGCACCCCAACCCCCCCCCCCAGGACAACGCCTCTTCTCTATTCTTAATGTCTCAGCTTAAAGCCTCTTCCACAAAAAGCACTTTCCTGCCCACTCAATCCAGAGTCAGGCCCCTCTTGGTATTCTGTGTCAGGCACCTGTTCGAATTCTTCACCATTCTGAGGACAGTTTGTAGTTACATATTAATTCTGTCTCATTCCAACACTGTGTGTCTGGGAGGGCAGCCCCCCCACCCCACACCACATTCTGTGTGGACACTGCTATGTCCCCAGTACTTGGGCATCCAGTGGGTGTTCAGGGGAGAGGTGTGAGGTAAGTCAAAGGTCATTTGCAACCACTGTCACTTCCATCTGAAGCTCCCTTTAAACCAAGTCTCCTACACAGTCAAACATTAAATGACCCACTCTGCAGTATCTAGAAGATGCCCAAGTTACACCCCATTTTGGGAGGTACGCGAAACAGACACGCATGATGGTCACTACTAGGACCCAGGAGAATGGAGCAATGAGGAACCTAGGGTGCGTCCTATGCCATGTGCTCAGACTCCTAAAAGAACTGAGGCAGGTCTGGGCCACTTCTGTCTGTGAGACATAAAACAAAGCCCTGTTTCTGGGAGACTCCTGTGGTCAGAGCCCAGCAAGAGTATCTGTTCATGTGCCCCAGACACACGAGCTATGCTAATTTCAACCCCAGGGACAGAGGAATAAGGAGAAGTTTTGCTTTCAGCACCTCTGCCTTAAGTAGTATCCTATTTAATTATTAAACCTATGAGGTTGATAGAGGAGGAAGCTCCATGGTGGGTGTATAGACGAAACTACGCAGAGGGCAGGTGACTTGCCGGAGATCACTCACCTAACTCACATGGCAGCTTATCACGGCTGCCCAGACAACTGTATGATATACAGGAGGTGGAGTCCACTCAGCGGATAAATACTGACGGGGGCCTTCTAAGGATAGGGCCTTTGTGGTAGGGGCTCAGTACTGCCGGTGAGGAAAAAAACTAGCGTGCAGCGGGATTCCTCAAGGGCCATCCAGAGCTAGGACCAGGTGCTGGGACAAAGGCAGCCTGGGTGCCATCCAAAACATGCAGCTAAGAGTATGGGCCATGGTTCTCAAACTGTGTTCCCTTGCTCCTGGCGGGGCTTCCAGTGCCAAAGCCAGGTGGGCTGGGAAGCCGAGCAAGCTAGCTTTGCATCCTCTTCCTCACTTCAACTTAAACTGAGCCCTGCTTGGGACCCTGGGGGTCCAGGAGTCTATATTGCCTTTTACTGCCAAAAAAAAAAAAAAAAAAAAAAAAAAGGATCGACTGCTAAGAAAGAAACCAAAGGAAACTCTGAAAAGCTCTGCGTCTGCTCTGCACACCGTTAGAG